AGTTACCAAGTCGATTGTCGCGGACAAATTTTAACCCTTCGAGTGTGTATGTATCATATGTGTACAGAAAAAGCACGTGTCACCAGTATGTAATGTACATTTATGCACATCTTTAAAAAAAACCGATCAAAAATTGGAAAATACCTGGATTTTTATATTTTGATCCGCCATTTTCAATTTTAAAATTCTGATATCATATTCGGTTTTAACGACCTCGAATACGTTAATATTAGAATCGTAACGGATTTGTAAGAAAACATTTTTTCACACGCTGGTGGCACGGAAATCTCATATTTGCTACACAGTCAAGGAGTTAAGAACATACAAATATGTACAGATATATACATTAAATACATGCAATGTATTCGGTATATGCTACCGATATATGTAATATAAGAAAAAAATAGTAATTGACACTCAGAAAGATTTCTTTCTGTGAAGAAAAATTTTTTATGTGTTAGATTTCTACATATATATCAAAAATTGTGCGTCGATATATATTTGACAGGGATAATTTATTTCAATTAATTTATTAAATTAATTTATGATATATAGACTCTGCAGGTTATGAAGCTGTTGCGTAAAGCTCTTTTAAGCAGATAAGATGTTCCACTAATTGTGTACACTTGAATTACCTTTGTCACTACAATCAATAGGGAAAATATAGAAGTTACAAGATTTGTTGTTTTCAAGGGGCATGTTATTTGATGGTAATAATTTTGTTATAGATTGAAGCGTGAAGGAGATTTCAATACATTGATGTAATGACTTGTCTGACATCCAGAGTGAAGAATGATTGAAATCTTTCTAGTTTGGAGTTATTCTATTCCATATGCTAACTAATATTAACTATATATCCTGTCCCACCAGAAATTTCTGAAATGTTACACTTAAGGCTTTTGGCCTTTTGCAGTCTATCTTTTTTTAATGACGTTAGAAGCGAGAATATGCGTGCTAAAAATTCATGCGAAATGCATTAAAATAAAAATACATATGCATAAAATAACACTTGCAATCGATTAAATAAATTTGTAAGATATTCCGTGTACTCCTCTTTTGCTCTAACAATAAATAATTTGTTGTAAATTAACGTGAAATACAATATGTTTTCTTTGCCTATTTCTTCGCCTATTTCTACTCAGGTTAATTTACAATAAATTATTGATTGTTAGATCAAAAAGAGAGAGCACGGAGTATCTTACAAATTCATATTTAATTTATCATAGAAAATTAACACATTTTTTAGGAAAAAAACGTGTCTCTATTTGTGTCTCTGTTTGGTCTGTGAAATTGAAACTTGTTTTTCGTACTTATAATAGATATTAGAACACGTCAGCCTATCATCAGCTCCGTCATGTCGTTTTCCGCCTTACAAGTAATCGTAAGAAATGACATACATTTCTGACGCTCTAATGCTTTTATAGTGTTTGTCCCTAACGTTCTTATGTTTTATATCAAATCTTATAATCACATCTGGTAGAACATAGAAAAAACTTTGCACATAATATTCGTACGACACGCACTGAGAGAAAAAGCAGTTGGTTCGACAAAATCGATGGTCATTTGACGTCAAAGAAATATCATATTTATTTAATATATGCGTTAGTACAATTAGTTGCGTTGAAATGATTATATCTGCATTAATAGTAATATTAATGTAACTTATTGTTGCATTAATTTGCATTTCATTTGATTAATTTATTTTGAGTAGGTCCAATATTTCTTTGATAGCCAATGATTGCCGATTTTATCGGTCTAACCGCCTTTTTTCTCAGTGTACCATATATTTGAAAATAAAGCATCTTATTTGAGACAGGACACACATCACATATATTCCGATATTAGCACTTTTTAATTCTGATTCTATGTTTATAATTGTTAGTTTTGTGCTTGAAATATTTTCAACTTTACTTCTCTAGTAATTTATTTTAAAAAGGTAAATTTTCCGTAGAAAATTAAATAAGCATTAGGAAAAGATATATAATTCTCTAGACCTCTGTATGCTCTGTAAGATTGAAACACGTTATTTATAATACGAGGACGTGGGCATTTCTCTAGCATTTTATTCAGCCTTTTGTTACTGTCCTGCACTTTACATGCTAATATAGTTGTAAAAAGCAACGGAACATTTTGACGCTGTAACAATCTTATAGTGCTCGTCTTCAATGTCATTTGTTCTCCATTAAATCCTACAATTACATTTGGTGGGACGTAGGAACTACATTGCACCTAAGATTCATAGGACATATCGTACATTTGAAAACATAGCGCCTTTTTCACGTTACGGCACACTCCGAATACGCCCTATTCTCCTATATCTTTTATATCACTTCTCAATCCTCATTCTGTCATTATAACTGTTATTTTTGTTGCTGGGAATAGGACATGTAATGTAATTTCCCAAGCTGATAAACTCTGCATATCCGTTAAACTTCTGCACACCTCCTCGTGCTGAGGTAGATACTTCATCCTGTGTTTTTCGCTGCAGTAAGAGATCATGGTACAGCCTCAACATAATGTTAAATTTTCGTTTCTTCCTTTATAAACATGACAAATGTTGGGGTGGGTGAACTTATTATAATCATAACCAGATATTTGGATTTCGTAAGAAGACTCTAACATTATTCTGAAAACAATTTATCTATGTACTGTCAAGTAATACTTTATCTATAATGCGAATTTTAAGAGAAAAATGTATAATACTTTTGAAAGACTGCACTTTTACCATAGTAAGAATACTTGATATAGACTAAATAGTTGTCGATTCTGAGATTTCTTGAAGGACACTAACAGAATGTTTACTGATGTTTCTGCCTGTCATGGTAGCATATTTGTATTTTTAATACGTAATATAAGTGAAAATCTAATAAACATTGAATATCCGTTACCAAGTAGGATATCGTGAATAAATGCGAAACATGTAGTGACATGTAAAAATAGTATAAGGACTATTTATTCAAATTTTAACGCGTAAAGACATGTATACATAAAATTATTTATTAATATATGTATATATATATATATATTATAACATAACTGATATAATATTTTACAATTTATATACAAATATACTTTAACTTACAATTTTATGTAACTGCAAAGCAATTTGTAACATTATCTCCAGGAAAGAATTAGGTCCACGAAATTAAAATTGAAGACTATTTTGTTCATAATATGAGATTGGAACATGATATGCAACGCGACACTTCAACAAAGGAAGAAAATTTATCAGCATATTCATGTCTATATAAAGATTGAGGGGATGACTATAATTAATTTGTCATATATCTTTTTTTTCTATATGACAAATGTCGATAACATTATATTAATCGTCATTACGATTAAAAAATGGTACTTAAGGTCGTTATAAATGTTACAATTTCGGTGCGAGCCGAATATATGCGAAGATGCTGTAAATAGAATTCGCAGCATATATTTAAATATATTTTTCAGTAATCACTAATTAGACTTCTTACACATAAAATAACTTCGTCCAAATATTTTATGTCAATAGTTGAAATAAATGTAGAACTAATCGGTTTCTCTTGTTTAGAATGATGCAACGATTGCTATTTGCAAGAATGCATTCGCTACAAAAACGTAATTTATTGTATAAAATTAAATATTGTATAAAATTAAATTAAATATCATACAAAAAATTAAATATTGTAAAAACTTTAATCTTCTGTATTTAATCATATAAAGTAAAGCATACACTTATTAGGGAAAAACGTGTCCTCCGTTATGTCTCTATATGGTCTGTGAGATTGAAATTTGTTGTGCATATTTCTAAAATGGTCTGGTCTCATTTCTAATGTCTTATGTATCTCCAATATAATTTGATTCATTTCATATTGTGATATAAACGTGAGAAGTACAAGACATTTCTGACGCAGTAATATTTTTATAGTGTCTGCCTCTAATTCCTTAACTTCTACATTAAAACCTATAACCACATCTGGTGGTTCGTAGGAACTACATTGCACATAAGATTCGTACGACATATTGTGTACTTGAAAAGTTAGCGTATTTTTCATCGCTTGGCACACTATACATACGTCCCATTCCCCTATATCTTCTTCATCAATTTTTAACTCTGATTCTATCATTATAATTAATATTTTTTTTGATGGTAACACGACATGCAGTGCCATTTCCCAAGCTGACAAACTCTGCTTATCCGTCAAGCTTCCGGCTATAATATGTAGGACATAAGTTTCCTGTTGGTTCAGCAAAAGCAAGGGATTTACACGATTTATCGTATGAAGCACTGTCAACGGTCCCGACATGGCATTGGAGTACATGTAATCAATGAACTTCCATTTGACAAACTCTGGATGTACATTTTTCACAAAACGGTCAACAATTGCTTTTGTGCTACCACTTTCAACTATATGAGTCATAGAGTCAGGTAGATTAATTAGTGGTATTCTCACATCTTCTTTCTCTAAGAATTCGTAGATATCCAATAACAAAGATTTGTTCAATTGCTCACAGTCGTGTGTAACGGGACTGTACTGGTGATCATCGCACCAATTGAGCTGCCAGCATTTTATACAAACGAGTTTTACATCTCGTTGTTGGTGACAAATTCTGCACGATTTTGCGAACAAGAACATCTGCTCCTCGTACGGCTCCAATTTGCGACATAAAATCGCCTTGATAGCTTGCAGATTCTCCTTCTTATGTTTGACCCATTCGTCGTCCGTCAGTCCACGAGTGATCCATATATGTTTCGTCCTACTCATTTCTTTTATTGCTTCACATATTTCTTTGTGTTGCGTTCGATGCTGCAGTCTGTGTTCCTCGCTGCAGTAAGAGATCATGGAACAATCCGAACATAATTTCAAATTCGTTTGGACTTTGTATTTGCAAACGTGACAAAGATTAGGATTGAAAAAGTGATTATAACGTTCGGGAGGAATTTTCCCTCTGTAAAAAGATAATGCCATTATTTAGAACAATTGTCTATGTAATTCCCAAATAATACTTTATCTATAATGTGAATTATAAGAGAGAAATGTAAAACTTTTAGAATTCAACATCTTGACAGAGATGAGAATACAGACAGTTTAGAGTAAATAGCTTAGATTAAATAGTTATTTAGTCTAAGACTGCTCAAAGGATATTAACATAATATTTACTAATGTTTCAGCATGTCAGGGGACTGTATACATATTTCTATTTTCAATATGTAATCTATCTGAAAGTGAAAAACAGACTACGAAGATTAGTTACCAAGTCGTTTGTCGCGGACAAATTTTAACCCTTCGAATGTGTATGTATGATATGTGTACAGAAAAAGCACGTGTCACCAGTGTATAATGTACATTAATGCACATCTTTAAAAAAAACCGATTCAATATGGCGGATCAAAAATTGGAAAATACTTGGATTTTTATATTTCGATTCGCCATTTTCAATTTTAAAATTCTGATATCATATTCGGTTTTAACGACCTCGAATACGTTAATACTAGAATCGTAACGGATTTGTAAGAAAAAATTTTTTCACACGCTGGTGGCACGGAAATCTCATATTTGCCACACAGTCAAGGAGTTAAGAACATACAAGTATGTACAGATATATACATTAAATATAGTAGTACATGCTTTATATTCGGTATATGCTACCGATATATGTAATATAAGAAAAAAATAGTAATTGACACTCAGAAAGATTTCTTTCTGTGAAGAAAAATTTTTTATGTGTTAGATTTCTACATATATATCAAAAATTGTGCGTCGATATATATTTGACAGGGATAATTTATTTCAATTAATTTATTAAATTAATTTATGATATATAGACTCTGCAGGTTATGAAGCTGTTGCGTAAAGCTCTTTTAAGCAGATAAGATGTTCCACTAATTGTGTACACTTGAATTACCTTTGTCACTACAATCAATAGGAAAAATATAGAAGTTACAAGATTTGTTGTTTTCAAGGGGCATGTTATTTGATGGTAATAATTTTGTTATAGATTGAAGCGTGAAGGAGATTTCAATACATTGATGTAATGACTTGTCTGACATCCAGAGTGAAGAATGATTGAAATCTTTCTAGTTTGGAGTTATTCTATTCCATATGCTAACTAATATTAACTATATATCCTGTCCCACAAGAAATTGCTGAAATGTTACACTTAAGGCTTCTGGCCTCTCGCATTGTCTATCTTTTTTTAATGACGTTAGAAGCGAGAATATGCATGCTAAAAATTCATGCGAAATACATTAAAATAAAAATATATATCCATAAAATAACACTTGCAATCGATTAAATAAATTTGTAAGATATTCCGTGTACTCCTCTTTTGCTCTAACAATAAATAATTTGTTGTAAATTAACGTGAAATACAATATGTTTTCTTAGCCTATTTCTTCTTTTTCTGCTGAGATTAATTTACAATAAATTATTGATTAGAGGAAAAGGGAATTGCACGGAATATTTTACAAATTTTTATTTAATTCAAGAAAAATTACACATTTATTAGGAAAAAACGTGTCCCTCTTTATGTCTCTTTATTGTCTGTGAAATCGAAACTTGTTTTCCGTATTTATAGCAGATATTAGGTTAGCTTATCATTTAGCTCCGTCATATCGTTTTCCGTCTTACAAGTGTTGATGTTATAATCGTAAGAAATAACGTACATTTCTGACGTTGTACTGCTTTTATAGAATTTGTTCCTAACTTTCTTAAGTTTTATATGAAATCTTGTAATCATATTTGGTGGAACATAGAAATAAAGTTGCACATAATATTCGTACAACATACACTGAGAGAAAAAGCGGTTGGATCGACAAAATCGACAGTCAGCCGTCAAAGAAATATCGTATGTATTCAATATACGCGTTTGTACAACAATTAGTTGCCTTGAAATTATTATATCTGCATTGATAGTAATATTAATGTAACTTATTTTTGCATTAAAGTGCATTTTGTTTGATTTGTGTATTTTGAATAGATTTTTTTGATGGCCGGTGATTGTCGATTTTATTGATCTAACCGCCTTTTTTTCAGTGTATCATATATTTGAGAATAAAACGCCTTATTTGAGGCAGGATACACATCATATATATCCTACATTCCGCATTAGCAATTTTTAATTCTGATTCTATGCTTATAATTGTTAATTTTGTTCTTGAAATATTTTCAGCCTTACTTCTCTAGTAATTTGTTATAAAAATGTTAATTTATCGTAGAAAATTAAATAAGCATTAGGAAAAAATATATCATTCTCAAGATCTCTGCATGGTCTGTAAGAATGAAATACGTTTTGTAGAAAACGAGGATATTCAAAGTTTGATAGATCTTCATTTATACATATTGAATAAAATGCATTTGCCTAGCACTTCATTCGTTCTTTTGTTACTGTCCAGCGCTTTACACGTTGATGCAGTCGTAAGAAGCAACGGAACATTCTGACGCTGTAACAATCTTATAGCTCTCGTCTTCTTCACTGTCATAAGTTTTGCATTAAATCCTACATTTACATTTGGTGGAACGTATGAGCTATATTGCATATAAGATTCATAGGACATATCGTATATTTGAACATAGCGCCTTTTTCATGCTACGTCACACTCCACATACGTCCCATTTTCCAATGTCTCCTATATCACTCCTCAATCTTGATTCTATTATTATAATTGTTATTTTTGTTGCTGGGAATAGTCCATGTAGTGGAATTTCTCAAGCTGACAAACTCTGCATATTCGTCAAACTTATATCGTTAATATATATGACAGTGCCTTCGATTTCCTTTGTAATGTCCATTAACTTCAGATGTAGCATCGCATAACACAGTGTCAAAGGATTCGATGTGAAATTGGAATGTACTATGTAATCATTAATCCCCCAATTATGTTTTTTCTGCTTTCTTTAAGCAGTAATTCCATGCTACAATTTTTATTTACATCATACATATCTTTAGGTAGATTACACAGCGGAACTTTCATGCTTTGTTTCTGCATATACATATCATCGAAGTTCAAAAACAATGATCTTCGTAATAACTCACAATTTTGTTGAATCTGAAATTATGATCACCGCACTTGTTAATTTGGGGAGGCATTCCAGACAAGTGAGTCTGTTTGTTCTAGTTTGTGTTGTTGGTGACAACGCACGATGTTACGAACAAGAACATCTGCTTCTCTTACGGCTTCAATTTGCGACGTAGAATCGGCTAGTCAGTTTGCACATTCTGCTTCTTATATATAACCCATTCGTCTTTCGTCATCCCACGAGTACCCCAGCAATTTCTTATCATACTCATTCTTCTTATATCTCTGCACATCTCGTGCTGCGGTAAATGCTCCATCCTGTGTTTCTCGCTGTAAGAAGAGATCACAGCTTCAGTATAATGCCAAATTATGGTGCATAATGTAAAATTGTTGTCTCTTTCTTTACAAACATGTCAAATGTTTGGATGGAAGAACTTATTATAATCATAACCAGATCTTTGGATTTCGTAAAAGGACTCTAACTTTATTCTGAATATATCTATGTATAGCTAATACTGTCAAGTAATACTTTATCTATAATGCGAATTTTAAGAGGAAAATATATAATGCTTTTGAAACATGTCATTTTTACGATAGTAAGAAAATTTTGTACAGACTAAATTGTTGTCGATTCTGAGATGACTCGGAGGATATTAACAGAATGTTTACCGATGTTTGTGCCTGTCGTGGTATCATAGATATATTTGTATATTCAATATGTACTATAAATAATGATCTATCAAACTTTGAATATCCGTTAGCAAGTAGGGTATCACGAATAAATTCGAAACATGTAGTGACAGATAAAAATAGTGTAAAAAATATTTATTCAAACTTTAATACGTAAAGACAACATATATACACAAAATTATTTATTAATACATGTATATATTTTATAACATAATTGATATAATATTTTCCAAGGTACATACCATATATAATATATCTTAACTTATAATTTGGTATAACTGCAAAACAAATTCTAACATTATCTCCAGAAAAGAATTACGTTTGTGTAACCAAAATTGGAGATTTTGTTTATACTACGAGATTTGAAATTTGACACGCAACTCGATACTTTAACGCAAGGAAAAAAAATTATTATACATAACACACTCATGTATTTATAAAGGTTGATGGAATGATTATAATAAATTGTTCACATATTTTTTTTCTATGTGAGAAATGTCGATAATATTATATTAGTCGTCATTACTATTAAAAAATTATACTTAAATTTGTTATAAATGTTATAATTTCAGCGCGAGCTAATTTAAAGACGAATGTATACGAAGAAGCGGTAAATAGGTAAATAGCATTTGTAGGATATATTTAAATATATTTGTCTGTTACCATTATTTAGACTTTTTACATATAGAATAATTTCGTCCAACTATTTTAAATCAATGGTCGAAATAAATCTAAGTATAAGTGATTTCTTTTGTTTAATATGATGCAACGACTGCCATTTGCAAGAATGCATTTACTACAAAAATGTCATTTATCATGTGAAACTAAATTAACCTTTATCGTATAAAACTAATTTAATATTTTTTCATTTAATCCTAAATCGTAGAAAACTACACACTTATTAGGGAAAAACGTGTTATTCTTTATATCTCTATATGGTCTGTAGGATTGAAATTTGTTGTCCTTAATCGCAATAAATTTTGGGTTAATTTCTAGTATCTTAGATATGTCTAATATATTTTGAGACATTTCATATTCTGATATAGCCGTCAGAAGTACCGGACATTTCTGAAGCTGTAATATTTTTATAGTGTCTGCCTTTAATTCCTTAACTTCTACATTGAATCCTATAATCATATTTGGTGAAACGTAGGAACTACATTGCACATAAGATTCGTACGACATATCGTGTACTTGGAAAGTTAGCTCCTTTTTCATATTATGGCACAATGCACATACGGACCATTTTCCTATGTCCTCTTCATCAATTTTCAATCCTGATTCTATCATTATAATTAACATTTTCTTTGATAGAGGTAAGACATGCAGTAACATTTCCCAAACTGACAAACTCTGCTTATCCGTCAAGTTTCCGGCTATAATGTGTAGGACATGAATTTCGTTTTGCTTCAGAAAAGGATTTATATGATGTATAATCATATAAGTCACTGTCAACGGCCCCGAAAAGATATTCGAGTATATGTAATCAATGAGCTTCCAATCAATCTCTGTTGGTAATTTCATGAAACGGTGAACAATTGCTTTTGTGCTACAATTTTCAATAATTTCAGCCAATGTTTTAGGTAAATTAAATGGCATTATTTTCACATCTTCTTTCTCTAAAAATTCGTAGATATCTAGATACAAAGATCTTTTCAATTGCACACAGTTGTGTGTAATGGAGCTGGATTTGTGATCATTGCATAAAATGTAGTGTGAGCATCCAGGACAAACGAATTTTATATCTCGTTGTTCGTGACAAATACCGCACGATTTTGCGAACAAGAACATCTGTTTCTCGTATGGCTCCAATTTGCGACATAGAATCGCCTCGATACCTTGCAGATTCTCCTTCTTATGTTTAACCCATTCGTTGTCCGTCATTCCACGAGTGGCCCATATATCTTTCGTTTTACTAATTTCTTTTATTGCTTCACATATTTCTTTGTGTTGCGTTCGATGCTGCAATCTATGCTCCTCGCTGCAGTAAGTGATCATGGAACAGTCCGAACATAATTTCAAATACTCAGGATCTTTGTATTTGCAAACGTGACAAAGGTTAGGATTAAAAAAGTGATTATAACGTTGAAGAGGTATTTTCGTTCCGTAAAGAGATAATGCCATTGTTCAGAACAATATGTCTCTATGTAAGTCTCATATAACACTTTATAATGTGAATTAAGTGAGAAATATAAAACTTTTAAAATTCAACACCTTTACAGAGGTGAGAATATAGACAGTTTAGAATAGATAGTTGTTTAGTTCAACACTGCTCAAAGGATACTAACATAATATTTACTAAAGTTTCTGCAGGGAATTGTATATATACTTATATTTCCAATACGTAGTCTATTTGAAAGTGTAACAGACTACCATCTGTTACCAAGTCGGTTGTCGCGGACAAACTTTAACGAGTGTGTATGTATCATATGTATACATGAAAAGCACGTGTCACCAGTATGTAATGTACAATGTATGTTCATCTTTAAAAAAAACCGATTTATCCTTTTGCGATTTGTACGAAGCTTGGTATCTTACTGTTTTTGAGTTTTCTGTATCCGAATATAATATCAGAATCTCAAAATTCGAAATAATAGATTTAATATGGCGAATCAAATGTTGAAAAATTTTTTTGGATTTTTGGCGGAAAAATTAATTAAATTTTTATAAAAATTATGGTACTAAGGTTTCGAGGCCGCTGAATATAAATATATCTGAACCTCAAAATTCAAAATAACAGATCCAATATGGTGAATCAAAAATTGATTAACCCCTTGCCGTACCATTTAGTTCGACGAAATCCGGGCCCAAGCGGTAGGAGATGACGCGCGCTAAACAGGCCAGAGTCGTGATATTTACGTTTGGTCCAATCTTCAATCCACGAGTGACTCGTGATGTTTACATTTGGTCCAATCTTCATTCCACGAGTCTGACTCGTGATATTCATGTTTGGTACAAAATTTGTATCACGAGTCAGACTCGTCAAAGTACGGCAAAGAGTTAATACTTGGATTTTTATATCTTGTTCCGCTATTTTGAACTTTAAAATTCTGATATCTTATTAGAATATCCAGCAATATATTCCTGTTCAGCGACATTGGAAATCTTAATACTAAATTCGTAGCGGAATTGTATGAAAAAACTTTTTTTTGCACGCTGGTGGCACAAAAGTCTTATTTTTGTCACATCAAGAGGTTAAAACATACCGATATGTATTGATATGTACATTAAATGCAGTGCACACATTGTATTCGGTATATACTACCAATATATGTAATATAAGAAACAAATAGTAACTGACACAGACAGATTTCTACATAAATTTAGAAAATTGTACGTGAATATATATTTAACAGAGAGATAATTTATTTAAATTAATGAATTAAATTTAATTTATGATAATTTACAGGCTCCGCAGGTTATGGAGCTATTGCGTAAAGCTCTATTAATCAGATAAGATATTTCACTAATTGTGTACATTTGAATTACCTTTGCCGTTACAAATAATAGCAAAAGAAAAGAAATTACAAGATTTAATGTTTTCAAGGGGTACGTTATTTGATGGTAATAATTTTGTTATAGATTGAGGCGTTAAGGAGATTTCAATACATCGATGTAATGAATTGTCTGAAATCCAGAGTGAAGTATGATTGAAATCTTCCTAGTTTGGTGTTATTCTATTCCATATGCTAACTAATGTTAACTATATATCCTGTCCCACAAGAAATTGCTGAAATGTTACACTTAAGAAGCGAGAATATGCATGCTAGAAATTCATGCAAAATACATTAAAATAAAAATATATATCCATAAAATAACACTTGCAATTAAATAAATTTGTAAGATGTTTCGTGCATTCCTCTTTTGCTTTAACAATTAATAATTTGTTGTAAATTAATGTAACATACAATTCGTTTTCTTAGCCTACTTTCTACTTAGGTTAATTTACAATAAATTATTGATTATTAGAGCACACAAAAGGGGAGTGCGCGGAATATTTTGCAAATTCATATTTAATTGATCACAAAAAATTTCACATTTATTAGAAAAAAGTGTTCCTCTTTATGTATGATCTGTGAGATAGAAACTTGTTTTCCGCACTTATAGCAGATATTAGGCCACGTTAGCTTATGCTAGCTCCGTCATATTGTTTTTTGCCTTACAAATATTGATATAATCGTAAGAAATAACATACGTTTCTGACGCTGTAATGTTTTTATAGCCTTTGTTCCTAACTTTCTTAAGTTTTATATGAAATTTTGTAATCTGATTGAACATAGAAACAAAGTTACACATAATATTCGACACACTGAGAGAAAAAGCATTTGGATCGACAAAATCGATGGTCATCTGACGTCAAATAATATCATATCTGTTCAATACGCGTTAGTACAACAATTAGTTGCGTTGAAATGATTATATCTGCATTGATAGTAATATTAATGTAACTTATTGTTACATTAAAGTGCATTTTATTTAATTAGGTTCTATTTTAAGTAGGTCAAATATTTCTTTGATAGTCGGTCATTGCCGATTTTAACGATCTAACCGTCCTTCTTCTCAGTGTATCATATATTTGAAAATAAAGTGATTTATTTGATGGACACATATATCCTATATTCCGACATTAGCACTTTTTAATTCTGATTCTTTGCTTATAGTTGTTAATTTTGTTCCTGAATATATTTTCAATCTTACTTCTCTAGTAATTTAATTTTAATAAAGTTAAGTTATCGCAGAAAATTAAATAAGCATTAGGAAAAAATATATTATTCTCTAGATCTCTGCATAGTATGTAAGAATGAAACACGGTTTTTAGAAAACGAGAATGTGGCCATTTGCCTTGCACTTCATTCAGCCTTTTGTTACTGTCCAGCGCTTTACATGCTGATGTAGTCGTAAGAAGTAACGAAACATTCTGACGTTGTAACAATCTTATAGTGCTCGTCCTGAATGTCATAAGTTCTCCATTAAATCCTACA